CCCCCGCCGCCACCGCAGCGGGCCCCGTCCCACACTCACAGTCTCCCAGGCTCCGTCTGCAGCTAGGCCCCACTCCCCGCTCCGGACGTCTCTTCCGCTTCCGGCTCCGACCTCCGCCCGTGGCGGCCCCGCCCCCTCGCGTGACGCCGTCGTCGCCTGCGGCGACTCGACCCGGCTTGGAGGCCTAGCCACTCTAGCTCCCGACTCGAAGGCTCTGGAGGACCTGCCCTCTCCGTCCCGGTCGGTTCCACGGCCGTGGAGACTAGTTCCGGGAGGGCCGAAGGGGCGTCCCGGGCCACGGCCCACCCCTTGCCGTGTCGCGACGCACGTAGGCCTCCCAGACCGGACAGGTGCGCGTTCCCGGCAGGCGGGGCCCTCGCAGCCGAAAGGTGGAGCCCCGACCCGGCGGCGGGGTTCGTCCCGTTCTGCCGCCCCGACGCCGCCGTGTCTGCCAAACCCCTCCTGCGCGCGGAGAGGACGGGCATTGTTTCCCTGGGGCCTGACGGGCGCAAGAGACGACGGAAGTCTGTGCGCCCGGGCTCGGGCAGGCGGGCGCACCTCCGCTAGCGTGAGGGAAGCGAGAGACACGTTAGTCACTCGGCGTGTGCGGGGTTTTTGAAGGCCGTGGCGGCACGCCCGAGCTCGCTCGTGCACGCAGAGCAGTTCCTGGCTAGACACCCGAGAGCCACACTGGTGGAGCGTCTTGCAGGGGCCGGGGTCTGGGGGGTGAGGGGGCGCCCTCCTCCTTGAGCATCCTTGGAGCGTCTGACTGCCGGCCAGCATTGTTTCTCAGTTAAGAAACCCCCACCAAACAAAAGCCCCGCGCCCTGCTGCGGTCACGCCCCGCTGACCGTCTCTCCTCCGAGTCACTCGATGACCCCCTTTTGCAGAGGCCTCGAGCGTGGGGTCACCAAAACCTTCCCCACCTACGGCCCCGCGTCTAGTCAGGACGGGATTACGAGGCCCCATTTTCCAGATGAGAAAACTGAGGTCGGAGTTCCACGTCGTGAGCGTGCGCGGCCCGCCCGGGCTGGGAGTGGCGTCCCCGCCCCCGGGCTCTCGCGGGCGTCGCGCAGCGAAGCGGGCGTGCGCGGCTCCAAATTGCCCCCACGCAACGCGAGGACTGGAAATCCGCGGCGGGCAGGGTATCGCTCCAGGCAGGGGGGGGCCGCCCTCCTCGGGACGGCGCCGCGGGGACAGCCGGGGTTTCCCCCGCACCGTGGGGCTGCCCGCCGCGCCCCACCGAGGCACGCCCCTGACGCGGGACGCGTCTCCACGCCCGGGCCGGCGCTGTCGCAGCGGAGCTCCCTCTGGAGCTGTGGCTGTGCCTCCAAGTCCTTTTTCTCTGGCTCCCCCTGAAGCTGCGGTCTGACATCGTGGCTTGAGAGGGTGCTTCATGTTCCCCAAATCTCTGTAGCTCCACCCCGAAGTAAACAACAAAAGCTAAGTAAAAACTAGGTGCTTGTTATGCTAACGCAGCTCGAGACCGACCCTGGTCCCCCTCCAGCCAAATGCACTCGCCCCCCAGTACAGAAATTCAGGAGCCGCTGCACTATGCAGTGGGTGACCCAGAGCCCGGCTGTCCCTGCCCCTACGTCCCGCCCCCTTATGGTTCTGCCTCAGAAGCCGGAGATTTTGAAAAAGCCCAGGCGTCCTGAGATGCAGTTCCTGCGCGGCGCGGGCCCGTGGCCGAGGGCACACCACCCAGCCGGGTTTCATCCATTCAGACGAGGCGGGAGGACCCTGTGGTGTCTCCTCCCCCAACCACTTAGTGTTGCCTGCGGTTGCCATGGCTCCGGGAAACCAGGACCGCGCAGGAAGGGCAGCTGAGGGACGGTGGTCCGCAGAGAGGCTCCTGTCCCCGGCCCTGCCCTGGGCGCCAGGCTCTGATGGAGTAAGTTAGGCCCTTCTTTCCACCAGCCCTCCCACCATCGAGAGCCCAGGAGTCCCTGCCTCCAGTCCCGTCTCTCAGAAGTGGAGTAGGAGCCGTCCCCTCTACCCTCCCTCTCCCAGAGCTGCAGCCTGGACTGTAGCAGTGAGAGTTGGGGAGGCAGTGGTAGGACTCAGGCCCAGACCCTGGCGGTGAGGAGAAGCAGAGGGTGGCAGCACCAGCTGGGCAGCCCCTCTCTACCCCATGAGTTCCCTCCCCAAGCTGGTGGGGCATGGGGCTCAGAACCCCCGTCTTACAGCTAAAGCTATGAAAGCCAGAGAGGTACTGAGCAATGACTTCATTTGAGGGCTTCTGGTCCCCACATTGCAGCTAACCTTTGGCGGCCTCCAACTGTTCTCCTGACCCCTGCCATTTCCAGACTCCCACGCTAGAGGGGGAGCATTGTGGGGCAGCAGAGGTGGGGGGAAGGTGGGCTCTGGTACCAGTTTTCTGGACTCCATGCATGACCTGGGGCAACTGACTTCCCTGCCAGAGCTTTAGTTCTGCCTCCGCAAACCTGCTGCCTGTGAGGAGATCATGTTTGTTTAGCAAGTGGCCAGTAGTCAGCACCCACAGCTCATGGAAACTGTTGCAATTGAGAACTCTTTAACAGGGTTGAGTCTGGTGTTTACTTGAAGTCCGAATCACCAGAGAGACTCCTGGGCCAGGGGTCAGGGTTGAAGGATTTAAGTACATGCTCAGCCACCCTGGCCTCAGTTCTGCATCTGAAGAGGGGCCTCAGAGGCTGGTGCCTTGGGAGGCCAGGACTGCCCCAGCTCCAGGGTCTGTCCTGCTCTCAAGGCCCACTGAGGCAGAGCCCATGGACCTGATGCCCAGCCCTGCCAGCTGTTCCTGGCATTCATTTCACCTCTGGCCACTGGACCATGTCTGTCCACCAAGCCCTACTGAAGGGTGCAGGTGAGTACGGGGAAGGTGGGCACAGCAGGCCCCCAAGGCCCAGGCCAAAACCTGGCTCTTCTCTCCCTGACAGGTGCTCAGACAGGGCCCCCAAGCAGGACTGAATGTGGTCATAGAAGGACCTGTGGGTTGGCTGGCAGAGAGCAGGTGGCAGCAGACTGTAGACCAAGTTGAGTGGCCGTCTGCAGGCAGTGCTGGAGGTCCTGTCAGAACAAGCCCAGGTGCTGCAGAGGCAGGAATGCAAACTGGGGCTCAGCCGGGCCTGGTATGAGCTGCTGGCTGTGAAGCATAAAGTGAGGTTCCCATTCTCTCCCCAGATCTTCTTTACCTCTCTGCAGCTGCAAGGAGGTCCCTGAGCTAGCAGGGTCCCCTTAGCAGCCTGGAAGTTCCAGAATGCTCAGGGCTGGTGTCCACATCTAGTGTCATGTTCTCAGGAAGACAGCTTGCCAGGGGCTGGAGCATCTAAAGGAGAAAGAGGGTAATGGAGTCCCCAAAGGGGCTGCCATATTGAACAGAGTCATCTCTTAATGGTGCCCCTGGAGGTGTGCAGGGTGTTGCCTGAGAGGCATGTGCCAGGCATGGCTGGGAGCAGCAGCTGGAGGCAAAGGAAGAGCCAGGGTCCCTGTGGCCACAGAGAGTCAGAAGGAGGGAAGGGCTGATTTTAGCTCAGCAGACAGGAGAGCTTTCTTAGAAGCCCAGTTGCCCCTGGTGAAAGAGACGATCCCCTGAGAGGGAGAGGTGGCTGTGCAAGCTGTGCCCTCTTGGGGAGGTTCCCAGCATCCCTACCCCATGTAAGGGTGTGGACAGGACCACATTGTGATGACCTAGATACCCAAGCCTTTAGCGACCCAATCGACTTGGCCCATAGCTGACTCTCCTAGAGCCACTGCTCCCTACGAGGCCTGGTTGACCCTCGGGGCCCAGTTCATAACCTGTCTCCTTGTGCCTGCCTGCTCTATAACATTCCACAACAGCGTCCTCAGTCCTCTTGCTGGCCTAAGCTCTGAAGCCATCAGCAGCTGGGGTGGAGAGGTGATATGTCTCAGGCCTAGCTGGAGGCAGAGGGTTGCACATCTGGAGTCTGTAGTGATAGATAACAGCTGAGCAGACCCTCAGAGCCGTGGGGCACAGTCCTGTGTATACAAGCCAGAGCACAGGTTCATGCAGGGCCATCAGCTGGGCCCTGCCTGCTTTATCAGAGACTGCCTGCCTGGTGGAGGTGGGGAGGCTGGACCAGCCCTCTCCAGTGACTTCCTGCTGCCTTCAGCCTTCCTCCCAGCAAGTAGAATGCTGCCTGGTCCACTTAGAGCAGGAGAGGCTCCAGCTGCAAGGATCCCAGGGACAGGAAGAGTGGAGGAAGCCAGACTGGAACATAGAAGATAAGTGAGTGCCAGGAGGTAGGGGTGGGGAGTGGTGCAGAGTGGTAGAGGACAGAGGGTAGACAGCCCCTTTCTGCCTCCAGGATCCTCCTACTTCAGGCTGAAGTGGAAAAGCAGCATTTGGACCAGATGAACCGACAGTCCCTTGGCCCAGAGCCCAGCCTGGGAACCCCTGGGGTAGGACCACCAGAGTCCCCTCCAAGTGGGTTTATAGCAGGGCCTTGAACACTGGTCCTGCCATAAATTTCACCCTGCCCTATACTTTATTCTCTGGTCTTCGTTCTTGGAGCAGTAGCTGGGGACGGAGGGCACTGCAGGGGCTTCTGTCCAGCCCGCAGAAGGACTCCTTGCCAACATTTGGGAAGACCCTGGAATCATCCAGCCCACTCTCTTCCTGGTTCAGATAGGAAAACTGAGACCACAGGGTAGGGAAGAACTTGTTCAGGGTCATAATGTGAGTTGGGTCCAGGCCCCTGCTACAACATGCCCCTTGAGGCACCAAGGGTCTGCCAAGACCACCCCAGTGTGGTCTGGAGGCCGAAAGGGTCCTGGACCCGTGGATCCTGGACTGAGTATATCCATAGGAGGTGCTGGTGCCAGCCCTGCATATTCAGGAGCAGAGCCGGAATGATGATGGGGCCCAGGTACTTCAGGGCCCAGACAGAGTCTCGATGGGGGCAGCTGAGACCCCCAGCCAGGCTCAGGACACAGCCCCCTGCAGGAGCAGCTGCTGGTGCTCAACCAGGTGGATCAAGACAGCTGGCAGGGTCAGCCCTGCAGGGAAGGGAACCCTTCACACTGACTGACTTATCCAGGTTGTTCCTAGCTGTGCCAGAGACAGAGAGGGGAGGGAGCTTGGGCCCTGTTCCTGGGGGATTCCCAGGTTCGGTGAGGGGCTCTAGGACACAGTAGAAAAGAGAATGACCAGGACAGCTAGAGTTGAGCATGGCCTCCACACAGTGCAGCTCCAGAGAGCACCGTTCACATCATAGTCCACATAACTGGCCCTCTGCTAGTGTGCAGTGAGGTCTGGTTCCAAAGACAAAGCATGGAGTGTGGAGAAGCCCCTGCAAGATGGGTTAAGTCAGAAGAGGCCTGGAGGGGTTGAGTCCCAGAGGAAGAGGAGCTCAGGGGCTCTGGGAGGAGGTGACTGCATGAGTAAAAGCCTAGAGGCTAGCTTGAGTCCCAGAATCCTGGTGGAGGCTGATCCATGACTCTGGGTGGGGTGGGGGTCTTCCCAGAGGAACAACAGACTCTCAGAAGAGCTGGGCTGGAGCCATCAGCGACAAGGGGCCTTCTTGGAGCAGCTGCAGCATCTGTAGGGAGAGCAGATGGTGTTGGAGGGCCACGTGTGGGCCCTGGAGGCAGGGCGCACCTGGCTGCTTGGGGAGAAGTCGGTGCTGCTAGCTTGCTGGGGTTGGCTCCGGGCCAGGAGGCCTGGTAGGTGGCTGCTCAGGCCCACCCCTCAGAGTGTCTGAACTAGGCTGGGGGGAGTGCCCTGCTCTCACATTGGGTGAGATGGACCTGTGGGCAGGAGGTGGGCCAGACTCTGTCACCAGCCGAGTGACAGGGGACAGCCCAGAACCCCGAACCCTCAATCACATGGCCAAAGCCAGACTCCCTTCCCCAGATATCAACACTTCTGATTGTCACATTCTGGTTCTTTTATGGGGTCATGTGGGAAATCTTTCAGCTTCAAGAAGTCCTGTCTCCCCTACATGTGGATGAGCCCTTCATGCTGGGCCAGGGACAGGCAGAGGTGGGTGGTAATGAGATGACCTTAACTGCTGGGCTCAAGTCAGGATGCTTGGGAGTGCCCAGGACAGAGGGGTTCTGCATGTGCAGGGAGCCATGAAGGAGGCATCTCTGCCTCTCCTACCTTCCCAGCCAATAATACAGTGAGG